CCCCCCCCCCCCCCCCCCTTCGTGCGGCCTAAGATGACAAGCAAGCTTGTAGCAGCTCACATTGCCGTGTGGTCGGGTCGCGATCATGACTCACCCCCCCACGGTTCCAACGCAAGCAATTTCGTAACGCCACGTGGTGTGGAAGGTACCTATGCACGGAGCCACTACAGTCTAGACTACACAACATGCAGGCACGAAGATCTACCGAATAGGTGCACATCGAGCACGAATAACAGTCGTACCACTGCTGGATGCTGTTGTTGGTCGTTGTTAGATATTCTCGCAGCAGTATCTGGTCATGAGGATCCCAGGGGGACACGTGTTGGGAATTTCGTGTTTTGAAGGGTACCACGGGCGTAGTCACGGGGACCCTTTGGGCGTGGTCGGTGCGATGTGATGAGGAAGGCTTGCGTGCGAGCTGCGCACTTCATCCTCTTCTTCTTCTTCTTCCCTCTCTCTCCACCACCACCACCGTCTCTCTCCAATCAAGTTTCCTTCTCCATCTCTCTCTCAACCTCTCTCTCTCGGCCTATCACGGCCGACTACCCAGTGCCCCAAAGCAACGTCCAGAACGTGCTTGCTGCACCCCGCGTAGTTTACCTTTCACACTAGTGCGACGATATCACGGTATCTGCGCGCGGGCGTAGCCTTCCGGGGGTTGTGCAGTCACGCGCAATAGGTAGACTCCCATAACAACATAAATCATGGAGGGCATCGACCTCTCCGCCCTTAGCGAGCAAAAACTACAGCAAAAAGTGGAGGAGATCGTCCAGCAACGAGTACAAGCCGAACTTGAAGCAAACAGGATCAACGAGGGTGAAGTCACCCACGCCCAACCACCATCAGCCGGCAACTCAGTCCCACCTACCGGCAGTCAGCCATCACCCTTCAGCCAGGGTAAAACAGCTACCTTCAACGACCCCAGCAGCGTCGCACACATCGTGGCGCAAGCGGTCAAGGCGACAGCTGAGGCCATCGCTGAACAACAGGGCTTTGCCCGCTCAGGCACGTTACGTGTCAATCCTGGCTCAGAAATAGAACCTTAGCTTGGTAGCGTGAAGAATGAGCAGGATTTGTATATTATGTTTGATATTTTTCGTAGTAAGATGATTTCATATTTTCAGGAGAAGGATGTGCATGATGCGTTGGAACTGGAGGTCGAGGTCAAGGTCGGAAAAAGGGGTGTGAAAATAGGAGACCTTCGGAGACTTTTTGGGGATGAAGTGGTAGACAAGTCATTCAAACTGTGGAATCCTGATCAGCAAGGTTTTGTATCCCCCGATTCAGAGCTTAATTCTGGCGTGTGAGAGTCCCCAAAAGGGTTGGAAAATCGTGACAGAATTCTATCAGGAGAAAAAGCAGTCAGAAAAGTCGAGGTTGGAGCAGGACTGGAAGGAGTTGGAGATGAGAGAGTCCGAGAGTCCAAAGGATTACATTGCCCGCTCAGAGGCCCTTCGCCTGCGTCTCGCATCTGTAGGCACAATTAAGGATGAAACAGATGCCAACAAAGACATTGCTCGTGGCCTTCCCTCTTCGTTGTATGCCGTGCAAAAAGGAATACTGCTTGCCCATGATGTCCTGACGTTGCGTACCCTTGAGACTGTG